AAGAGTGAGATAGTTCAAGGTAACCACTATGTGATAATACTGTAAAAACTATTTATGTCAGACAAGCAGTCAAAAAGAGAAAAAAATACACTTTGAGCTAATTATCTCTTACTGCTACTGCTCCTGCTGCTGCCTAGAACATGAAACATTTAATTATAATTAACTGAATCTACTGACATACTTCAATGAGTTTCTTAGCAACAAAAAGTAGCAACTCACTGTCACAGTCAGCTGAATGTAAAAGCACATCCACTATCTTATTAATTTCAAAGAATAGCAAGTTCCATTTTGGTCTATTAGTATGCCTTACAAATCTAAGAGCATGCACAAAACCAAACTGCAAAAACATGTTCTTTATGAATAAACACGACCCTAATGTCTACACCCTTCCAGGTAGGCTCTGACATTCTCACCTGTCATCACTGCTCTGTTCATCGTGCAAGAGACGCTCCTTGTTTAAGCCTATTTTTTCAAGTTCATGAGCAAGTTTTTCTAGATCATTGTTCATTTGTTGAGTCTTCAACTTTTCATTCACCAAGTCCTTACACAGGAAAAACTACAGTCAGTATTTTCATAGAAATAAAACAATGCACTCTAGAAGTGCTGAGACAAGAGGCTTTTATCTCTACATGACTTGAATAATTCAGTGTTAACTCTCCTCTCCTTCAGCCAGATCAGACATTACATTGCAACTCCAATTTGATTTCACTGTACTCTCTTCATTTCTGTAGCATTTCCCTTTAAATCTGGTCTTGTACATGACAGTGGAGGGGAAATGTTTCAGCAATATGGTGATAATATTCCTTTTCATTACTATGATTATATATTTTGATTAGCTAATGCTTTTCCTATAGATATTCTAACAGTATACATACTAAAGCATAAAAACCAGAAAAGATAAACTTTTTCAGAAACAGCTCTAATTTCTCTACATTACAAACAGATGATGGGAATGGTGACCCGTTTCTATTTACCTCTCTCAAAGTGACAAGGGTTTTCTTATCAATGGTAGCTCTTTTCACCAGTTCTTTATTTTCCTTCTCTAGTTCTTTCAGGCGTAGACATGACTCTTTGTATACCACAATTTCTTTAAAGAGAGATTTATTCTCCCTTTCAAGATTACTAATTTTCACATTGTTTTCTTCTAAAGTACTATCTTTAATTTCTGCTTGTTGTCGAAGTCTTTTATTTTCCTTTTCTAGCTGTTTCTTATCCTTTTCCAGTTGGGAAGTTTCTTGTTCCAACAACTTATTCTCCTTTTCCAACTGCTCTAGGCGCTTACTAGAGATTTTTAACTCCTCCAAGCTCTTTTGCAGTGTCTGATTTTCAGACTCTAAATCTTGTAATTCACTTTCTAATTGCTGAATCTTCTTATTGCTGTTTTCCAGGGCTTTTTGAAGCCTTTGGTTTTCTGTGTCCAGGCCCTGGTAACTGACTTCCAAGCGTTCAGTTTTCTTAAAAGAGGCTTTCATGAGTTCAAGGCTTTTTTTAAGTTGCTCCTTTTCACTCTCCAGCTCCTTATTTTCTAACTGTAACTGTGCCACTTTAATGCTTGTACACTTCAAGGATTCAATTGTTCTTCTTAACTCTAAATTTTCTTCATCAAGTTGGGAATTCTCCTTTTCTAAGGATTCTAACTGAAAAGTGAGGTTTTTTAGGCTATCCAAAGTCTTTTTCAGCTTTCTGTTTTCTGTCTCCAGGTCTGAGTTCTCCTGTTCTAAGGCTTCAATTTTCTCACAAGTGATTTTTAAGTTTGTGATTTTTTTCTGTAACAATTCATTCTCCTTCTCCAGACGATGCAGCTCATTCTCCAGTTCTTCTGCTCTCTCCCCTTTCTCTTTGTAGTGTTCCAGTTCTTTCCTTATTTGTTTTTTTTCAAATTCAATCTTGTTTAACTTACTGCTGGTCTCTTTAATAGACTCATGGAGGATTTTATTTTCCTTTTCAATTTCTTTCATTCTTGCTTCAGCACTGATTTGTGAGCGCTGTCTGAGGGAAGCCACAGTTTGATTCAAGTGCTCATTTTCCTGTTCCAGCAGCTTAATCTAAGTTGGGTAGAGAAATGGTAAACTCTGGTGAACAACAAGCCAACAGGGAATTACTTCCATGTATAAACTGAAAGCTACTAAGCTAACACAATTACATCATATTTCCCTTTTAAGTTTTAAAAATTATTCTCTTCCTTTACTGGTATTTGACGAATTACAAACATTATGGATGGACAGAAGTGGAAGTCTGACAACAGATAAGTCAAACTGAATCTTCAAATCTCTTCCTCTTGAGTATTAATAGGTAGCATAAAACCAAAACTAATAAAGCACAAATCAAATTAAGCCTTATATATGTCTTAGCATAAATTGTCATTTGCGTTTACCCAGATTTAGATTAAAATTAAACTCTGTCATTTCAAGAGATGAATAAGACTGCAGTTAAGTTCTATGCCAAACTTGAGATGGAGGGAGGTGTGGGAGCCAGAAAAGTGTGTTTACTTCATTTTGGGCATCCTGATCACAGTCAACAACAATTTGAAAAGAAACACATAAAAGTGAAACTGATTTTTGAGTTAGGAAAAACCCTTGGAGGACATGCTCTTCCAAAACAGCTTCTCATAAACTCATAGAATCATGGAATGGTTTGGGTTGGAAGGGACCTAAAGATCATCCAGTTCCATCCACTGTCATGGGCAGGGACACCTCCCACTAGCCCAGGCTGCTCCAAGCCCCATCCAACGTGGCCTGGAACATGCCCAGGGATGGGACAGCCACAGCTTCTCTGGGCAACCTGTGCCAGCGATTTGACTAAAGCATATCAGAACTATTTTCTTAGGAAACATATTCCCAGATCTACATCCAGGACAAAGGCAGAACACACATCTTAATTTTTAGTATTTATGGACTTTTACAGTTGCTCCAAATCATTTGAAATTATTTGGGTATGTGGCAACAGATAGCAAAATCAGAAAATTGTTTGGATCAATATTTAAGTGTACACTAATAACACAGTGTAAGGAATGTTTCAACAATAGACTGTTTTGGAGAACAGCAAAAGTGCCAGTTGCAATGAAAAACAGGCTGAGAAAATTATAGACTGTTCTCTCCTAGTTAAGTGTGAATGTAACTATTAATTACAGATCTGTGGCTCCATTCCCATCAACGACAAACTGTTCAGAAAGGATTCCTGAAAAACTAATTAACAGGTGCCTAAAAACACAACTTTGGAGCACCTGTTATGTGTGCTGGTTTGGGCTGGGGCGGAGCTAACTTTCTCCACAGTAGCTAGTATGGGGCCGTTTTGGATTTGTGCTCAACACAGGGTTGATAGTATGGAGATGTTTCTGATATTGTTGAGCAGAGCCTACACAGAGCCAAGGCTTTTTCTGCTTTCCATACTGCAACACTGGCAGGAAACAGGGGATGCATGGGAGATTGGGCAGGGGCACACAGCCAGGACACATGACCCAGGCTGAGTGAGGCGATGTTCCATGCCATATGACAACATGTTCAGTATGTGGGGAGGGAGGAGGAAAGGAGGGGCATTTGGGGTGATGGTGTTTGTCTTCCCAAGTAACTGTTATGCATGATGGACTCTGCTCTCCTGGAGATGGCTGAACACCTATGCCCATAGGAAGCAGTGAATTAATTTCTCGGTTTGCTTTGCTTGTGTGTGTGGCTTTTGCTTTCTCTATTAAACTGTCTTTATCTCAGCCCATGAGTTTTCTGGCTTTTGCCCTTCTGATTCTCTCCCCATCCTGCTGGGGGGTGTGAGCAAATGGCTGCATGGGGCTTGGTTGCTGCCTGGGGTTGAACACTATGTCACTGAACATGCATAATTACTTTCCATGAATTCTGCTTCTATAGTCCAAAATTTTTAAAAAATCATGATCAATGCATCTAAAACTTTTGATGAAACCAAATAACCTTTGCAGAGTTGACTCCAGTAAGTTTCAGCACAAAACTTTTTAAGAAATATTAGAGATGTTGCTTACCCATCAACTCTTAAGAATATTATTTTAAAGCACAAATAGTCCCACTGAAATGTCAGTTCTACTCCAACACATTTAAAACAATACATGTACCTTTAAATCAAAGTAAAGCTTGAGTGCCAAGCTTTTTTTTTCCCTTTTTTTTTTCTTTTGAAATTTCATTTACTGATTAAACTGAGCCTTTAAAAATCATCAGCATTTTTGAAATACAATATTCTGCACTTCAAAATACTGTATTTTTAACTTAAACTAAAAAATGGCAATGTAATCAGGAAGTATAAGTGGAATTTATAAAAGACAACTACAGATCTAATTCTGAAGAACTCAATTACTGAAGACGGGATTTCCAGAAGTTTCCAGAACTCTTTTTCCAAGTGGCTGCCTTCCTCATGTCCTCTGAACTGCCCTGCAGACACCCTTAGAAGGTGCCAGTGCTCATCAGATACAGATACATCACTGACAGCTCAGATCTCTTACCAAGACCCAGATACCAGTTTCTGGCAACCAAAAGTAAATTCAGTTAGCCACAGCTGGAAAACATTCCAGTACAGGGCAGAACTCTTAAAGCTGGATCTGATGGTTCCTACCACAGGAGAACAGGCCTGTGAGGGATACAGGAGGGGACAGCTCTGCCCCTCTGGCCCCTGCCAGGTTGCTCGGAGGGACAGGCTGCTGCAATTCTCATTAATACTCTGACATTACTTCAAACACTGCCCAGCTGCCTGGAACCTGTTCTCCTCCATTGGGAGGTGGCTGGCTTCCCTCCAAAGTTCCCAATTTTCTGTTCTGGCTGAGCTACACCTTCTGAGCAACTATAGCAAGTGTCCAGCCCATGGGAGCCACAGTAGCATTACAAAACACTGAGAAGTTCTAAAACTAACAGTAAAGCCTCAGTTAGAAATGAGTCATGTCTCTCTCTGGCTGCAGGTCTCAGACAAGCTATTTTGCTGCAGAAACATTCATTTTGGCAAATCTGTTACATTTACAATCCCTTTATGTCTGCATAACAGTACAAAAGGAGAACAGTGGAGTACAGAGCAGCATTAAGACTTTTGATTCTGCTACTCACTTGTCGCTCAGAGTTTTCTCGAAGTGCTTCAAGTGTTTTTTCAAGCTGTGCTTTTTCTTTCATCAAATCTTTACTCAGATTTTGACTGTTCTGAAGACTTTGTTTCTCTTGGCTAATCTCATTCTCTAGCTCTTCAAGCTGGGAAAAGAGAAACAAATAAATTATATTTAAAAATGACACTAGTATTACTCATAGCTGGGTTGAAGGTACCACTACAGAAATGAACAAAGATGCTCAAAGGAAAGAATCAAATAGAGTTTTCTAATCTTTAACTCAAACTATTAATTTCTTCTGGGAATAAATTTACTTCTGCAAGAATTTTCTCCCTGGCTCAGAAGACTGTATCTATAAAGTACTTTTGCACTAAAAAGGGTCAGATTTTCTTAGGCTCTGGATACTTGCTCAAGACCCTTTTTTTTTCCTCTTAAAATTCCATTTTAGTGAGAGTTATACTGCTCCTCTAAGTCCCTTTCAAATGTTGAATATTGTTTCATCTTAAACTTAACTATTTCAAGAGATAATTATGAGGATTCCTTGAGAATTAAATATACAGGTTTATTTTGTTAAATGGTGCCAACTCAGTGTCACCAGAGAGGAAAGCTATTTAAAAATTAAAATACTCAAGTATGACATTTCTGCCCCATTCTAATAAGTTACTTAGAAGCAACATACATATTGTATTTTTAAGCAGTCAGCTACTAGAAGGTTTATATTCCATGTCAAGTCCACTGTTCCTGCCCCCACATGGCAAATACTTCTGGAAACAAATTACCTGAATTAGATATTAAACTGCTGCTAAATAATACTGAGAAATAAAAATCACAAAAAGATAGAATGGAATTTGCTCCTCCATGAATCAATCCGTTGACCTGAATCCCATTTCCTTGCCTGTTATACCTATTCCTTTCTCTCATACCTCCCAGCTGCCCTTCAGGCACTGTACAGCAGCTCAGCGCAGCACACAGGCTGCTGCAAGCAATACACCCTGCTAGGAAACCAGAAAACTTGTGGAAGCATGGAATACAGCAGGGATTTCTTTCAATTTACTTTTCTTTAAATTGTCTCTTACCCACTTTCAGAATAGTCTTTCACCTGAAATAGCTGATGAAGTTAAAAGTGATTTCAGAAACTTTAGACATTTCACTCCACTGTAATTAGTCCCTGGTCTTTTTTCCCCAAATTTTTATTCTCTATAAATATCACTGACTAAATTACTCTATTTGATAGACATAATTTGAAGAGTAAAATACTGTAGATCAGCAGAGTTAAACCTGACAAACTCCTCTCTTCACCTGCTCATCAATTCTTTGATCCACCTTCTCCCTTTCTCAGTTAAGAACGAGGACACAGGACCAACCTTTCTGCTTAGACTGATCACTCAGCCTTCACCTATGCACACACTTTGCCCTGCTTACTAACTGCAAAATTAATGTCCTCAAGAATCATAAAACACTTCCATTACTCCTTACATTCCCAACATGTTAATATTTTCCCCCCATTGGTCTAAGACCTTTCTGAATAAACTGGTCACACTCTGATATCAATAAACAAACACAACTAAAAAAAGAGGAAAACCTCTTTGAGGTAGATTGCTTTTTTATCATAACCTTACAAACACTATAACTCCACTTAGACCCTTGTAATACTTTACCCAAAATAACAACAATTCATAAAGAAAACGGCAAGCAGCATTTGGCACCTAATACACAATTCAAACATACTCAGATAATTACCGTTTTGCTAAGTCTTTGGTTTTCTTTTTCCATTTTCAGAATCTTTGAACTGCTGCCTTCTACAGAACCCACTGCACTTTGTAGTTCTTCCACTGTCTTCAGCAAACTTTGGTTTTCCATTTCCAGCTTCAGTAACCTGCTTGATGTCAGCTCATTGACTTCATGGCCCAGTGATTTCTGTGGCACTGCGGGAGAAAAACACCTTTACTAATAAATAAAAGTGACTTACTACCTGGAGTCCTTGGGACTTGGCATTTTCTGACTGAGGAGAATTAGCAACCTTTGAAGGTCCTCCAATGCCCTTTTGGTGACTAGAGCGGGGTAATTATTGACCCAGCAGAAAACACTGCAGATGCATAAAAGAAAATGTTCTACTCATCCTGAAGCTCCTGATCACAGCAAGATTTATCTCCCTCAACTCAGAATGTATCTCTAAATTTCCACAGGTGCTTTGCATGGGATCCAGATCCATTTTGGAAGAATCAATTTTTTTTGCCACAGCTACCTCTGCAAACAATTACATCTCCAATTTAAGAACAGTAAAGCAAAAGGACTCAAGACCTGTGCTGCAGAGTATGAAGTCCGAACTGCAAAATAATTTAACTCCAAGGTGTTTATGGGGTTTTCGCTACTATTTAACTGAACCAGAATCACAAGAACAGACTTTTCATGTAGGCTGTATCTCCAAGGATACATGGGAATCAGCATCTCTCCAGAGGACAAGTGACTCTCTGTACTTCAGAAATAAGGACCTTTAATTTCCTTATGCTGTCTCAGATTTCCTTTTCCCTATTTCATCAGCTTGCAAGTATTAATTATGTTTACCTTCAGAAAGTTCAGTAGTTCTATTTATCTGTTCAAGTTCCCAGCCAAGATGCAATGATTCATCCATACTTTGTTTCTGAGCCATTTCTAGAGTCATATTTTCCTCCATGAGCTCCTCAATCTTCTTTCTGTCCATATCACGCTCCTTAAAAATTATTTCATAATAAAAAAATTCTCAACATGTGCAAAGTGTTTCATTATCTAGTGTCACAGGGAAGTACAAAGTGCATCTTCTGATTTGCTAATCACATGGAGATGGGGAGGAAGAGACAAAGTAGGGAGAACTCAGAAGTGTAACAAGCATGAAAGAAGAATACAAAGAGAAGAACCTCAACTCATAACCTACAGCAATGACTCCTTACTCTTCCAAAGTTTATGTCTCTCTAAATATCAGGAAAGAAAGTATATAGGATAAATATGGTATTTAAGTGACAACAGACTATCCTCACATCAAAAATATTGATCCTATCATTCTCATTACCCAGTCTCTGCATTTATCATGTTATTTCAGTGACTCTAAAGCTGCACTGCCTTTAGGAACAGAACTACCTAGGCAATTTATCCCTCATCTCAGCAAAGCCAAAGTTACTGTAGGAAATCATATTTGAAAAGTGCCAGTAAATCAAGATGTACCTTCCTTCTCTCCCCCACCACTGACACTTACCATCTCCATATCATGCAATTTAGCTTTTAATTGTAGATTCTCCTTTTCCAACTCGTGCAATTTATCTGAACGGGCTCGTGTCCCCTCTAACTGATCTTCCAGCATTGTCTTTGTTTCTAGCAACACTTGATTGTCTTCTTTTAACTCCTGCAAGAATTGAGCAACAAAAAAAACCCACAACAGAAGTATTTCCTTACTCATATGAACTTTGATACATATCACAAATTATTAAGAATAAATAAGGTGTTGATAATTATAATCAAACCATAAATATCTCTGTGATCTGAACTGTGACTTGGAAAGATGTATTACATGTACAGGTCATAATCAGGTTTATAGGCCACTTAGACCCAAAGTCAGGCCATGAAGCTGAAAATGCAGCCACATTCTTAAAGTACAACCAACCACGCTAAAAGGTCCTGAACAGCTTTAATTTCTGTACATAGAGAAATTTTTTAATGGCATCTGATGAAAATAATGTGTAAAAAAGATATCATTGGCAATTTTATTCATGATTTAAAGACAAAACTTTTCAAACTTCAGCACAGTCAGCTGCAAAATCTGAAAAAAGAGCAGTGAATGTAAATTCTTAAAGTACAACCAACCACGCTAAAAGGTCCTGAACAGCTTTAATTTCTGTACATAGAGAAATTTTTTAATGGCATCTGATGAAAATAATGTGTAAAAAAGATATCATTGGCAATTTTATTCATGATTTAAAGACAAAACTTTTCAAACTTCAGCACAGTCAGCTGCAAAATCTGAAAAAAGAGCAGTGAATGTAACATTCATCCTTCACTCCCTACAC